TGTTATTCTGTAATAAAAGAACCTTTGACCTGGAAGTAAGAGTAATGTTGTTAAGATTTTCTGTATTTTCTGTTACAATTTGCTTTTGTATCAAAACTATATAAATATCGCAAACTTTCTATCTTGAAAGAACCGTGGAACACGAATATCTCAAAGAAATTTGTATACTTTATATAAATGGTGAATTTCACTTGCTTGAGTTCGCATTGTTACAAATAATCAAATTAGGATCGCTAAACATTCACTCAGGTTGAGAACAACAAACACGTCAAGCTGTTAATAAACTGGAATAAACGCTATGCAACAAGCACAAAGATTACGAAAATTGACGTGTGACGGAAAAAGTGCTGTGAATAGCTGGTAAATAACGACATCACAAACCCTCGACAACATGTAACATGTGAGCGAGAACCAGTGGCACGACTTTTCGACTATACCAAGAATGTAGTATAGCACGATCAAGTAGACCTCTGTTTGCTGGATCGTTCTCTGCGTTCAGACCAGATATTTGAAGTTTAATCTTTATATTCATGTTACGAGGAAATGTCACAGTTTCATCGATAAAGCAAGCTCTGAGTGCTATATTACAGCCTTGATACCGTTGCAATCTGTTGATATCCTAGGATTCTTAATTCGGGATCAATGAAGAAAGGTTCATTTATGTTAATTACTACCATACGACTTTGAAGAAATGCGAACAATGTACGATAATAATGAATTTGGTGATTGGAATATCGTCTACATACTCAGAGGCGAAATTCAGTTCCCTGATAACTTCATCCCTAAGTCTCAGGAAGGCCTGGATCATATTTTTCAATCTTACTGTCATTTGAAGGAAAAAGAGAAGACTAGGAAGTTGGGTGGTGCTGAGGTACTACAGGTGTTCGATGATATGCTTTAATCAGTTCATTTTAAAAGAATACAGTCTTTCTACATACTTTTGTGGAGGAAACATGTAAATGTGCGGTGGCATACGTATCAACTAGCGTTACTCTGTTCTACCTGTATGATAATTTCTTGGACGACCGCAGTGGTTTTTCTTCACCACTATTTTTATTGGCCAGGTCCATGAAGCATTGGGTCACTAACTGATGCCAAGGTACATCATACGTTCAAATTTGCTTCTCGCTATGACTGGTTCCCCCGGCGATAAACGCTACGTCTTCAGCACACGGGTTAATCTTCTGGAATTATTCGACGGTATTTTGTCAACCTCATAGTTGAACTCGGTGAATTTCTTATACTACTCGAGGTGAAATTGTCGACCGTGCATTTTCTCATTCGGACACTACAAGTTCCGAAAAATGTGGAGATTCTATAAACCTTATAACGTATATGTAAAATAATAACTTTACGTCCTTTTAAACTGACCAGTACATTATATGAACCAAGAAAACATGTTCTTAAAATAACTTCTTTTACTCTGACCACGATTAAAATACGGGTAAACTGTGGCTTTGTAAGAAATAATGATTCATTTGTACTTGGTTGCCTGCTGATAGTGTGTTTCAAATATAATACGTTTGTAGCGGTAAATATATCCCCAAAATAAATGGCTCTGTAAGTCCTCGACATTTGATGCTGACAGTATTGGTTTTAATGGACTCATCTGGCTGAAGACGCTTAGTCATACATCAGCATTAGATCACGAGTGGAAACGCCGTACTCAGCATCCCCTGCAATCACTAGCCAGATAAGATCGGCCGATTCACGATATATTGATAACTTATCAAATATATCTTCGAACATGACTCTTGTTGCGTACGTACTGTCTATCTTCGTATGTAATAAGTGACTTATTCCACGTTGGTGAACAACGGAGTTAAATACATCAAATACGAGAATGGATTTAGAATACATATAATTTCTATACTCATTGGTCTGGCCAGGGAATCAGAGTGATGAGGCGAATAGATGAGAGCGGAACGAAGCAAAGATCATGCGCAATGGAGATGGCTGGGAAGCCAACTCGATTTAAGCAAGCGTTAATCAACATTTATAGTCAGACAAAAATGAGTGACAGACAAACGATGAATAAGATACGAAGTGTACACATATATGCTCATATAAAAGTATAGTCAAGGTTAATAAGCAAATGATTAACAAGATCAAAATCTGACTCATAATGGATAGGCAAATTGGCTTGGCCAGCAACTAGAATAAAGTATATGGGCTTAACATATAAACTGATACTACACTCTCTTCTGTCTATTGATTTCACTTGGTGGGTACGATTTACTGAAGTTCAGTATAACTTTTGCCAAAAAATGTCTGTCCACCTTCTTAATATAACCCTGAAGAAGTTTCTGCTAATCATATTTCCGAGTACTTGATGTAAATATATGTATATGTGAGTGGCAAAGATAAGAAATAGGATAGATCAGTACTTAAGGACGGCTTCAAAATAAGGAGTTTTTAACTTGCGTGTGTGAAGGAAACTACGAAAGTGAAAATTAAATTGGTGGTGAATTGAAATGAGCCAAAATAGGTAATCGGTGACAACTAGAATGAATGCCGCAACTAATCTCAGTATGCCTGTTATAATCGGGGCCCAGTATCAGTTTTTATTTAAAACTACTTTAAAAATTGTTGCGCGCATGGTCTGAGTTCCGAAATGTAATAACTTCAGGTACGCTTGCTGCGTTCTCGCGTTTTAAATACAAATTTATTCGTGGCTTCTAGAGTACCAATTCCACAGTCCTGATAATTACACGTTAACATACCACATTTAACTGCTTCTGCTCATCAGATTAGTCAGAGTGGCAATAATTTTGTACAAAATTCAGTCATCACAATTAAGCGAAAGCGGACAAGCCTAGTAAGCCCTAGCTATCCATGATGTGATAATTTAGCTTCCTAATTAAAATCTCGAGAGCATAAAAAGTTTTTTCGGCCCAAATAATACTAAGGCTAGCACAAAAATAGAGTTAAAATCGATGTAATCAACTTCGATATAGCGAAACTAGTGAGTTTTACTTTGCTGTGTCAAGGTTTCTTTGACGGGTTTAGTTTATTCCCATATGTTGGTTGTGATCAATAAATGCATATTCACTGTGGGATAGTAAGGGAAAAGTATGGATATTATATAAATACGAGTATGTTTTTGATCAACTACATTTTTATTTCCTTGGACTTGACATAATACGTCCTTGGTAACGCTCGAATTAATTCTGTAACAGATCAATCAGTGATTGATTGCCGATGGTCAGTGTTCATGCTGAAAAAGTTCCTAATCAATTAAATTAGAGAGTCAGAACACAATTTATTCATTCGCAAACTAGGTTCACGCTGCAGAAAAAATGGAATTGGTGGATATTATTCAAAGAGGTATATAGTTTTTCTATAATATGTGTGGGCGAGAGTGATAATGATTGCTTGTCTGCCTAATCAAACACGTAGATAGTCTGATAGGATTCAGATGAGTTATATATTCCGCTATCCTTATCATTATTATTGTTGTTGCATTCTGTCGGTTTTGGTGTTGAAATATATTTGCGCTTTTGTCAGGCTAATCCGAGTTGTGTTGAAGTCCTGTAGAATAGACACTGGGAGGGAGTCAAGTGTAGATATTCGTCTGAGGCAAATTAACGTCCCATTCATGTAAACAAGGAAACGGACCGTTATAACATAATATAAAGGAAAATATCTTCTTAACTCCTAAATAAAATAACAAGATAAATATTTATTATTTGGCGTTTAGATGAACGTAAAGTAACAGCATACAATCAACTGACCCTTCTACTTAGTCGATTACTTGGGTTTCTACAGAGGAACGTGAGGCTTTCAAACTTAATAACCCTATTATGTAAATCATTTTACGTCAAGTAATACCAGGATCTAATAGTGATGCTTGGTCGAGCGTCTACACCCTGTAGTGTTTCAGAAAACTGACAAGGCTGGTATCAATGTTTGATACTGACAGAACAAAATTTAAGGATCCGATTGTCTCTACAAATCTATCCATTGAAACTTATTGTTTTTTTTTACCTTGAATAGTTTCAGTGGACCCCTAGTGATCATATTTAGTATGAAGGTTACATTCTGACTGCAAAAGTTTCGCAATAAGACTAAATATTACAGTTTAAGTTCTCACTCTAGAAGTAATGCAAGTTAAAGTCCTAGTCAGTAGTTTTATTCCGTTTTAGTAATCAAGTCTCAGAAGTCACTATTCTCTGTAATACCTAGGTCGTTTAAGTGGGAATTTTGTTTCATGGAAGATCAAATATAGAATCTCCCTTTTGCTTAGGAGTGGCTATTTAATTTCCTTGTTTCCATGTACACTAGTATCGATGATTCACTGCCGTTAAGCGCTAAAGATTTTTAAAGCCTCTTTCATCGTAAATCACCAAACCTAAGAATTACAAGTATAACTATAAAGTAACGGTCAGACAAAACAGGATTACACGAGTAAAATATAAGATGGCAGATAACAAACCTTAATCTAAATATCTAGCTATGTTACTTAAGAGGATTCTGGTCTGGAAACTAACTATAAAGAGCCAACTTATTAAGTAACTGAAAAAATGTATATGTAAATATATACATACAGTAAAACGAATCCAAACAAGAATACAATGAGTAAAAGCATAACTCCATAAGAAACGTAAGATAAACTCTGGAAAATAAAATACTTTATCAAGATTATGAGATCGAAAAAGTGATCAGTCACCCGACTATTCGACGCCACTCAAAATAAAAATTAAGGAATACAATCTACAAAATAGCGAAGCTTCGATTTTCAGGAGTGTTTGATTTTTCTCCACTCAACGCTTAGTATACAATTCTCTATCTTTGTCTATTTTCATGTATATATCGCTCCAGTTTACGAAGTTGTGCTAGAATGTAGTTCTTCCTAATCTAAATCCATTCGAGCCACCACTGTTCAGTGACTGTGGTTGTTAATTGGTAAAAGTATGGATGTCTGAAGTTTTTTTGTTCTGGTTTAGAATATTTCTATTTGTGGTTCAAATGTTTTTCATGTTGTTAAACTGGGCCTAATACGCTACCCCGCTCTGTTCAGAGTAGGTGCTAGTGGTTGGGGCGTATTTGCTTATGTCCTTCCATTGCTATCGCTCCTATGGCGTATAGTCTTTTTAAACGTCATATAACAATATGAAGGTAAGAATAATCTTAAAGTTGCACTCAATTTTCATGAAAAGTCAAATGATATTTTGAGCCTCCTATGTGAAGTGTGAAGAGACCAGGAATCCTATACACTTGACCAAGTTCTTTTCCTTCCTTTGCTTCTGCTCTTTAAAACATATTAGCTCTTTAGCAAAGTTTAAAACTTTGTAGTATCAATGACTTACGGAAGGCATTTATATTGTGTAAAATAGTGATCTGTCTAAATATTGTTATCGTCGTGAAAGACAATGAACTTTTAAAAGCCTAGCTGGTTTCATATGTTGACATGTATGTTCTTATCGAACATTCGCCTCGTCAGGTTCGTGTTCGTATGAACACCGAACTGTAATGGCACTTCGGAAGCCTTTGTAAGCATATGACTGCCTATTGACTGGTTTTTCGTCAATGTTGAAAGGTGTTCCAAGAAAGTGTGTACTCTTTGTAAATTCTCTTTGCACGAACACTAGTGGTAGGGACAAAGCCTTCAGTGATCTGTCTTTGGGATTGGTGACAACGGGTTTTTTCTATCAGGGTTTTCCACTTTACCTTAACTTAGCCGTATGTATTCCTTTGTAGCTAATGTTTTCATAGTCTAACTTATCACGGTACCAATCTGCTAACAGGAGGTTCACTTGTCGGCGTACAGAATGCTACTCGACAGTTTTGTGTCAACTCTTAATTAATGATGGCTGTTAAAAGAGGTTTGTGTGTCATTTATATCAGAAGTCTCATCAGTCCTAATGGATTGGTGTCACAGGATGTCTGCACAAAATATATCCGTCTATCTACTGAAGGACGAGTTTACTGCTCCAATTTTTTTCCCGACCGTTGCTGCTACCTTGACGTGGTGGTCGGACTTGCCTATCGTGATGATCCAATCGAGCTACACTGGCTGGAACAATCGTTCCTCAAGGTTCTACCATGCCAGACAGGTCGGTTGAAGAGCGGTGAGACTAAAAGCAGTAAACCCAAGGTCCGAAAGTAAAGTCGTACTGCTGACTGTACAGGAATGTGACGGCAGTAAGGTGTTTCCTTCAGACAACCACCATAATAGCGATACTGCCTTCTCACAAGAAGGGGTGGGGTTAGAATAGGTCGACCCTAAAAATGCACTCCTCGCCTTATCCCACGAATATCCGTCTACGGTGGTAAAATCCTTTGAAGAACGGAGCTAACACGTCAAAAATCCACAAATAGGCCGTGCGTGATCGGCCTCAAGCAGTTATTCCTCGGACACTGCGGTAACGCTCCCAGGTTGTTAAGACCAACACTAATCTAACTTCCTTTTCAGACCCTTCAAGAAATACCCTTCCACGGTGTGAGCAGCCGGGAAATGATATCAGCACTCATACCCGTAATTGCACACGAGACCAAGTTGGTTACATTCAAATCCTTCCTACACCTAATAACTCTCTTATTTCGACGACTAACCCTTCCCACGTCCTTTTATCACCTCGCACCGCTAGGGAAAACGAACGATTCGAGTACACAGAACGTTACTCCTGGTCTCCTGAAACCACGCTCTAAACTACATGTAGGAACTTTTAATGTCCGAACATTGTGCCAAATAGGACAACAGGCCTCCTTAGCTAATACTTTAGAATCTCGCACCATCGATGTGTGTTGCGTCACTGAAACGCGCATACAAGATCCGAGTAGTGTTATTCATTTGACCGCACCTAATCAAAATAAAGTTTCATCTCGATACACGCTTCGTGTATCTGGAAGCCCTGATGCTGCTTCCCGTAGCCTCGCTGGAGTAGGTATAGCATTAAGTCCTAGGGCAGAACTAGCTCTTTTAGACTGGATCTCAGTAGACAGTCGTCTGTGCGCTGTCCGACTAAAGGGAACAGCAAAGACTCGGAAAGATAGGGAAACTCGTCGTTGCCTCTTCGTCGTCTCTGCTTAATCTCCCACTGACTGCAGCTCAGATGACATAACAGACAAGTTTTACAAAAAACTTTCCGACCCTCTTTGAAAAGCTAGGCGTTCTGATGTAGTAATAGTGGCTGGTGACTTTAATGCTCAAGTAGGTAAACTAAGCGAAAGGGAAAGACACCTGGGTGGATCTTATGGTGTTGTGGCTAAAAGAACAGGTAATGGTGACCGTCTGTTGCAGCTAAGCTCAGAAAACCGCCTGTTTCTTGCAATTACTAACTTTAAGCATAAGGAAAAACATCTTTTGACATGGCGACCCCCGAATTCGTCCCAACGTCGGACCCAAATAGATCACATCGCTATCAGCCGCCGATGGAGGGGCTCAATAGCAGACTGTCGCTCATTCTGGAGCACATGTTTAGATTCAGATCATGCTCTAGTGCGAACACGTATCTGTTTGCATCTTACTGGACATAGGAAAGACGCTTCAAGGAAGCCTCTTACGATTCTACTTAATGATAGCCAAGCTAAGAATATATTTCAGAAACAACTAGAAAAACAGTTAGGCAGCCATGCAAGTTGTGCCCACCCCGAGTCAGCGTGGATTGACATACGAAAAGCTGTGGAAACAACAGTAATATTTGCTAGTACACTAAACCATAAGGTTAGAGAGAAATACTGTATCTCAGAAGCATCTACCGCACTGATAGATGCTCGAAAACTCATCCCATCTGGCTCTGAACATAACGAGGTGCGGAGTCAGCTTAACTGCAGGCTAACAAAAAGCCTACGCAATGATCGCAAACAGTAGTGGGTAGCGGAAGCAAGAGAGATGAAAAATAGTATTTTTCGACCTTAAGGCGGTATTTGACTCCATTGATCTTGAGGTTCTATAGCAGTGTTTGTCACTGAAAGGAGTACCAAATAGGTGCATTAACCTCATAAAGACTCTCTACTCGAACACAACTGGTCGAGTTAGAGCCTATGGCGAACTGTCGTCAGATTTGGTTACCTCAAGTGGTCAGGACTGTCCACTCTCTCCATTATTGTTTAACTTTGTCATTGACATGCTTTTAGAGGTAACACTTTCATCATCTAAATCTCCAGGAGTTGAACGTTTACCGGGAGACTCACTTGTTGACTTAAAATACGCCGATGACATAGTTCTATTTGATGAAGACTGACAAAATGCAGTCTTCTGACCACTATAAGCAACTGTGCAGGCATGTTCGGGATGTGATTCTCTCCCTCCAGGTACAAAATGTTACTTCAGGATTTGGTTGCATCGACACCTGATCTAATGATAGGGAGTGAAGTAGTTAACTGTGTTGACCACTTCACTTATCTTGGAAGTCTCATCAGCCCGTGTGGTCTGGTATGTGACGGAATCTCAGCACGGATACAGAAGGCTCGTCTAGCTTTCACCAACTTGCGTCATTTATGGCGTAGGCGAGATATCCGTCTAGCAACAAAAGGACGGGTTTACTGTGCAGCAGTCCGTTTCGTCCTACATTATGGTAGTGAAACATGACCGGTAAGAGTAGAGGATACTCGTAGGCCACTAGTATTCGATCATAGGTGTCTTCGAAGCATTGCTCGTGTGTCCTGAGACCACCGGGTAAGTAATGCAGTCATTAGGAAACGGATACTAGGTAAGAATGGCAAATCGATTGATGAAGTAGTGAAACTTCATCAGTTGAGATGGCTGGGACACGTGTTACGTATGTCCAACCACTGACTGCCCCGACGTGCGGTGTTTTATGGTGTAGGAGTTGGTTGGAAGAAAGTCAAGGGTGACCAGACCGAAACGTGGCGCAAATCCCTGAAGTCACTGACAAGTGGACTGAGCCATGTTGGTAGGTGTAGACTACCTGGTTTGGATTCACGAGATGATAGCAATCGATGGTTAGAGACCTTGAATGACATGGCTCAAAATCGTTTGCAATGGCGAAGATGCATCCACTCTTTGTGTTCTACCAAATTCTAATCTTCTGAATTCCTCATGTCTTTATCTTTTTCTCTTTCCAAATTTATTTCACTGTATTATACTCCTTGAATAACATCTTCAAACCCTAATCTTTCACATAATACTTATACTCTTACTACTTCTACCACTATGGGATTTGAATCGATAACTGCATCTCTGTGCTAATGTGGTATGGCAACTCGAACTGATGTACGTACGTACGAAGTTCTACGTTGTAACTGACTGACTGCTCTGATTTGTATGGCGTATAAATATTTGGTACCTCCTTGTATTAATCTTTGAATAACAAATTACTGATCTGCAGATATAGGCTGCTGTACAATGATGGTACATCGGTTGATGCTGTAAATTTCAGTCGACCGAGATGATCAAGACGTATTACTCATTCCCAAACGCCTACTTTGATGGGCAATGTTTATCGGTGTAGAAGTAGGCTTGAACAAAGCTAGGAGCGATGTCAGTTCATTAACTTTCTGACCATTGGACTAAAAGATGTCGGTCGCAACGTAGAATCTGGAACCCATATACATCGGTTCTAGTTGACACACTTTATTAGCACAAATGGATGAGATCCCAAGAAAGTAGAGGTAGTGCCAGTGCCAGTGGTGATAGGAAAGACTAGGCATCGAAGATACTATTCAAAATAGTATTTAGTAAAATGAAAATACAAAATAGTCATAAAGCATTCAGAAGCCAAAAACCTGTGTGGAGAGAAAATGGATGTACCTGCACCATTGCAAATGATTTTAAGCCGTCATTCAAAGCCTCTGAACACTGGTCACGATAATCTTGCAGACCCCAACCAAGTAGTCCTTGGATGTTAACATCGCTCATTTCAGTTGTCAATGACTTCATGAACTAATACCATAATTTAGTTTGGGCACCCCTCTTACTTTCAACCTACTATACCAAACTGTTATGCCCCGATATGGGTAATTAATGATAACTTTGGGATCTATTTATGAACCAATGTTTTTTATCGTATAATCGCTGGATAACTAAGCTATTCATATTCACGTCACTTCTATTATAATCCCTATTTTGAACTATAAACTATTATCATACGATTCATCATTCATGAATTACACCCAGTCTACTAATTACCGTTCCCTCTATTCACAGCCACATT